ATTGTTAGTATGTAATGTTTTTAATAACTGAGAGAATACAATGAAACTAATTTAGATAGATCTTGACGAAAACTAATCTAGATGGATCTTAACGAAGACTAATCTAGATAGATATTAACAAAAACTAATATATATAGATCTAAAACCTTTGTTTAAACTCAGCTGCAAGTAGTAAACAAATCAATTACATAGCACACAATCAACAAATAAATATAAATTTAATGTAGAAAAAGAATTTTTAATAACAAAATATTAAGTTAGAAAAAATTAAATAGTTGAAAAAAATTGGATGGTTATTCATAGTAAACAATCTCATAACAAGTTAAGTCTCTGCACAGCTTAATCCCACTCTGCCAATCTCGTACTCATCCGTCTTCTTGTTTATCCATGCCATCAATTATTAGAGATTTTATTTTCGCGGCCCAAATTTTTTTGTCAGGTACACTATACAATTATTTGATCTCAAGAATATTACATAATTTTTTCGCTCAAAACCATTTATTCAAATATTAAAACGTTTCCGAAACTTCATTTAGCTTGTAATTTCGCGCAAATATACGCATAATAATAATGATTACTTACTAAAACTGAAACTGATAATTATATATGACCATAAATAATTATAAAATAATAGTATAACGATTATTACTTTTCCTATAATTATGCACAAATATTAAGGGATAACATTTTCTAAATGGAGCGAAAAAAAATCATTAACTGATAGCAAATGATGATAATAGTAACCGTTGCTTCCAGTTTTCTTATAGTTTCCGTAATTGTTTAATAATAAAATAACTATTAATAACTACAATAATAAATAATCATCACTGGTAATAATTAGCAGTAATACGAAAGCAATTATGATAAATGGCAGCAACTAATAGAAATACCATCTTTTTATAAGGCTGATATCAACAACAGTAGTACTTAATAAGCACTATTGTGAACTTGCGCAGTCTAATAAATTACAAAATAATCTTAATATTTTTTCCATAAACACAATATTCGATAATAATCCCTTAATTATAAGGAGGAATTGAAGTTCATGAAAGGAATTGTCAATATTCTTCAGTGATTTATTATCACTGCGGAATTTTTTTAATATAAAGTTTGAAAAAATTAAGTGTTCGCAAATTTCTAAAAGGAAATTGTTGCTTACTTGCGATCAATAAAATAAAAAATTTACCAGAATTAATAAATCAATAAGTGCACTAAATATGCATTGAAATAAGTTATATTTTGTAATTGAATTAATTGTCGATTTTTTAAAATGTATTTTTAACAGCAATTGAAAGATTTACAATATAAAAATAATGTGCATGGATAGCTAAGACACGCGCGGGAAACGAATCTTAATTTAAAAACTGCAAAACAATTATAATAATTAGAGTATAAATAATATCCATTCCTTTAAAAAGCTAATAATTTAAAACATCAGTAAGAAAAAATAAAAAAAATAATATGCAAATTTTTTTAAAATTCTTATTGTTTATTGCAAAACCTTTTAGCTTTTTATTTCTAGTAAATTTATTCTAATATAATCATTAAAAATTTAATTACTTAAGTTAAAGCTTGAGATACAATTTGACACAAATTAATACTTCACCTCTTCGAAGTTTATTACTTAAAATCTTTTTCTATATCTTTTGCAATTCTTGTTTTCATCGTCACAATTCATAAAAATCTTACGTGACTCAAAACTTGCAAATTGTACCTAAAAATTGGAAAGATTTGCTTGCAACTAGTATAGACTTGTTAAGACTATTAAAATAGTACTGTGAAATAAAAGTTAATACTTCATCACTTTCTTATGATACAAAATAAAATTTAACTAGTTCATGACTGCAATTATGATTCATTTATTTAAGTTCTGAGTTTTTAGTACGAAACTGAAAGTAATCGTGGAAAAGTCAAATTTTGATCTAATTTGCATTTAACTCAACTCAATCAATCAATCATAATTTTAGCAGTGATCTTTTTAGCTGTCAGATGCAGTGATAAGACTTGTATATATATCATATCTGTAATTTACGAATTTATTTGACTTTTTGGATAATGTTAATTTTGTGCATTTCTCTTAATTTTCGTATGATTAAAATAATGTTTTTATTCAAAATTATATTATAAATAGTTATTAATCAATAAAAGTCTTAAATTTTTGCAAAATATGTTTCTAAACCAAAAATTAATTGTCTGTTATTGGAACAAGTGAAGTTAAGCAAAGGTAGCAATTCCCTTTTGACTGACCATTGGACAATTTTACCTTTTGACTGACCATTGGACGCATTTAAGATTAACTTGGCCTTTTTAGAAAGCAAAATTGCTTGCTAGCATATTCTTATGCTAAAAAAATGGCATAATTATTTGGTTTGCCTCAGATTTGACTGTTTTTATGCAAACTTCTGTAATATTATTCAATTTTCTTCGCAGCACAACACATTTTTAGAATAATTTAGCATTTTAAACGATAATTTGAATTGGAATAAAAAAGTTAGTTGTGGTCAGTACTGAAATAATTTACTGAATTGTGATTGCAATTCTTATCATTGAATGTACTCTCTCGCTGTGTAAAAATGTTGAAAATTATAAAAAAAAGCTTTATTTTAATTGTTAAAAATTTTAAATTTTCATAATTTTGCGCTAATATTTATCAGACTGATATGCAAGTTTGAAGAAGAATTAATTTAATTTAAATATTCGATCATTTTTTCAGACTATTTGGCGCGTTTACGCTTGTCAAACATTTCTCTGCTAATATATTTTCTCTAATTTAATTAGTAAATCAGTCAATTAATCGATCAATAGATAAACTTAAATTTTCCATAATTCAAAAAAGAGTAATTTTACAACAATTATGACAATTTCACATTTAATTAACTGTCTTTTTCAGTATTTTTTTAAGTAAAATCAGTTCGATAAATATGATTTTCTAAGTACTTTTTCCAAACCTGAATATGACTAAAGAAATTCAAAAAATAAAAACGTGCAACAAAAAATGCAAAATTTTAACTTATATTTCTGTCAGTTTGTTGAGTTTATATTTCATGCAAGATTTTGATTTGCTCTAATTTAATAAAAATAAAACAAAAATATAATTACTACTATTTAATAAAATAAACAAAAGCACAATTAATTAATTAATATGACGCTTTTTTCTTACTTACAAAGTTTAGACGACAACAAATTGCACTATCAAATTTATTTTTTAACACATACAAATTTGCATAATTTATAACGCTTACAGATTTGCATAATCTTTAACGCTTGCAAATTTGCAAATATAGAACAATTAATTAGCGCTAATATAGCATTTGCTTATGAAAAAAATGGTACTTATTAAAGATTTAACTTTGTAATTTATAAAAAATAAAATGAAAACAATTTTGAAAGTATTACGTTTTGTCACGCGAATATTTAAATAGATGGTAAAGATGCAATACTTATTTGGCTTTTAGGTTGACAAATTCAATTTTAAAAGCAAATTAAACGTAACGATTTGCTTGCGTGATTTGAATAATTCCGTTTTAAGAATACTGGCAAGCGGTGATTATCCCTCAGATAACCCGGAAAAGCCTTCAAGGCCTCTCAGCAAATCCTTCTGCGCCATTGCATATAATTCACTTAATTACTTCCACTTTCAATTCATCAAAATTACTTTGTTCTTCAAAGTAATGCTTTTTATCTGACACAGTGCTTCTTTTTGAATAATACATATCAAAAGAATACTTTTTTTAAATAAACTTTGCTAAGCATAAATGTCTTTCGAGAGATTGGCGCAAAAGAGCTACGATCATTTTTGTTTTACAGAAAATTTTTTTAATTTACCGCGAAACATTAACTGAAATAACTTACTTCTATTTTTTCTAAATTAGTAAATTTTGAACTAAAGTGAACTTAAAAGTTACTTATTAAAAGTTATTTTGTAAATGGCATTTATACTTTCTCAAAAATCTAATTCAAGTATCTATGAAAAAAGTTTGCGTTTATTTTGACAAAAATATTAAAAATAGGACTGATTAGCAGATAGTTTATGCAATTCTATTAATTTCTAGTTATCATTATCAATCATCGAGTAACGAAGCGCAAATGTTAAAGTGAAATTTAAATCATATGCAGTGTCAAAGGTCAATGAATTTGTAACCAAAAATATGAAGTTTATACAAGTTTTAAGTATGCTAAATTTTCAAGCTAATTTTAATCTACACATCTTATGGGAGAGATTCTCGATTATGATTATTTTACAGTGTTTAAATTAAGATCATTCTTTTAGTGATGTAATCACAAATTTTTTGCATTAACTGCTACGTATTATTATCAGTACTATAGTTAAAACTTGAAGCGATAAACTTAATAAAAATGTCGTACCACTCTATCATATCATATCATATCATATCAGTATATGTATATTTTTATGTTAAGTAAGTTGAGCATGAAAATTAATACAAATAAAATCTTCTAATTTTTAGTTTTTTCAATTTTTGACCTTTATCCATCATGATTGCTATTATACATTCCTGAGATGATTAATATATCTTAATTCTTCATTATGATGTACAAATCTTTCAACAACCACTTTTTATTTTTATTTATTTTATTTAAATTTGACGTTTGTAAAATATATCTGTTGTTACAGTTTCAGTAAATAAAGCTAATTTAAAGGTTTGAAATTTACGTCTATAGTCTAGAACAATGTAAGAGATTAATTCAAAAAATATATTAAAATTGCCAAAAACTCAATACTAAACTTTTTTTGCAAAAAAATAGATTTGTCTGAATTCTCGTTGCTTGTTCATATATGCAAATTTTGTAGTTCAAAAACACGTCGATATGCACATCATCATTCTAAAATTCAAATTTCAAACGGTTTGTATTGCAAGATAGAATCTCAATAATTTTAAGATTCACTTCAGTAAAGTTGAACTTTCCGCTACATTTAGTTCACTTTCATTTCAAAATTAAACTTAATTAACCATCACTGAATCCCTTTGTCAAGTTAAAAAATGGGAAATTTGGAATCAGCGATTAATCCCGCGCAGTTAAAAAAAACAGTTTTAGTGAGACAATCTTCGAATTCATCTCCAAAACATTCAGTAAGAACTTTTTTCAAATTTTAACTTTGCATTTCCATTTTGAAAAATTAATTTTTTTATAATTAAAAAAAATTTTTGTAGTATAATTTTTTTATTACAATAATAACTAATTATTTCTGGAAAGCGAAATTATTTGTATTCATTTACAAATATTTACTTATAACTTTTGGATTTATCAATAATTCTTTGTGTTCTAATATAGTCTTTTGCTTTTTTTCATAAAAGTTTGCTAAATTTTTTTATCAAAAATTTTAACCAACTATAAATTATCTTAATTTCTATTTTATCATATTATTACAGAAATATTTCATTCAAATATTGATGTTTTTTGCTTATTCAAATACTTTCACACAAGCTTAGAACTACAAAATAAAGTGAAGTAACCAAAAAATTATGCAATTTTTCAAGACTTGTGAATCAGTTTTGATCATTTGAAGTTACTTTTGAAATTACTTGAAGTATATTGTTAAGTTTTCTGACCTCTTTGACACTAAATTTAGCTTTCAAGAAATAGAAAAATATTTTCATTTTGATTTTTCTTTACTATTTTATCTTTGCTTTTTTTCGTTCTGATAACTACGTGTTATTAAATTTTTAAATTTGGCGATTGAAAAAACTTTAAAAAAATCAAATTTCGTCAAAATTTATAAGTCAAATAAGTCAAATTTTGTAATTTTTTTTAATAAGTCAATTTATAAGTCAAATTTTGTAGTTAGACAGTATTAATTTTAGGTCAGCTAGAGCGCAAATTTCAATCTCAAAATTCATATTTGAAATTAAATTTGCACTTCAGGATAAATTAGTACGTATTTTACGAAGGCAATCATCGCTAGCAAGCTATTTTTGCAGTAAAAATGATTCTTCATTGCCTATGCAATCGCCAGGACGTTTGAAGCATGCACTAGCGATGAGGAGCCATTCAGAGCAAAGGTCAAATTCTAATTCATTTTTTAGGCTTAAAAATTTGAGAATCTAAAATTAGAAACTGAATCTGACGTGATACATTTACATTTCAGGAAGTTAAAGAAAGCTTTGATGGAATCGAATCTCAAAACTTTATCCTTTTCATGTAGCAGTCTTAGGTTTTTTTTGTTTCATTTGTTCAAGATGTATATTTTTATGTATTACTTATTGCAATTACATTTTTAGTACATTTATGATATATAAAATTTTCAAATTTCGGGTGATTTTTTATATAAAAAAAAAATTTTATGATATATAAAATTTTTTTTTTATATAAAAAAAAAAATATTTAAAATTTTGTTTTGTATTTCTATGCATTACAGATTAGCATTGCAACCAAATATTCAAATTTCGGGTGATTTAAATTCATCACAAAACAACGCAATTCGAAAACTATGGAAACAGGTTGAAACCAACTTTGAACTTTGCCTTTCTGAAATTATTCAAATAAAAAAATTGCTTCAATTTGAAAAATTAATTGACAACTTCCTTTCACTAAAAATGTAAAATTTAAAAAAAATTGACCTCTTAAAATACCATTTTAGGCTTTCTTTTATTTGCTAAAATCAAAATTTTTACTTTTTTTAAATGAATATTTAAATCGAAATCGATACAATTTGTTTGATAAAACTGTAGAAAAATCGGTATTTGGCATTGATTTTAGTGATCAGAAGTAATAATATGTATCAAAAAATTTGTGTTAAGGAGATGAAAAAATGCAACGATAATGAATTTGAACTTGCTAGTCGATTACTTCTGTGTATTTTTGCTTTGGATGAACGCCTTCAGATACCTTTTTATTTATCCAGTATTGCCCATGCTGAGTTGAGAAAAAATGAACAATTTAAAGCTCACGTAAAGGTATACGTAAATTTTTAAAAGACGTAAGCTTTTAAAATTATGAATTATAACATTTTGCTCAAAAAAATACGATAAAGTTTTGTTTGCACTTTCTTTCACTATCAAAATTCAGCATTGATAACAGTACTTCCTCTGTCCAAATTAATTTGTATCATTTTCAGTTTTTATGACTTTAAAAAAGAATTTCGAATTTTTGCTCTGTGTTTATAAAGGAACTTCGAACTAAGTTAATTAATTAAGAAGAATTCTGCTGAAAAAAGTAGCAAATTAAAATCGAAATAAAACCAACTCCCAAATATACCAATTCAAAATTGCTAACTTTGATTATTTTCCGTCAAGAACTAATTAATAATTATCAGTTATTAATTGAACTCCTTAAGATTTAAAACAATTACTCACTGATTTCTTGAAATAATCTGATCACCACTGATTCATTTTTTATACTTCAAGTCAATAACGTGCACTAATTAATGTGTTTAGGTAACAGTACCAACCCTAACGTTTATAATGTCACATTTGCATGATCCAACGGCAATGAGTAAATCTCTGCAAGCATTAGGTGCGCGACACGTAATTCACACAAAGGTTCAGTACAGAAGTAATTACTGGAAAGTAAATATTTCTTTTCATCTAATTATCACTCAGAATATTTTTTTATATATTACAATTACAAAGCATATCAGCAATTTTTGTGACATCATAGAAAAGTTCCACTTTCATAAATATTATTTGAAAAGTTTTAGAAATATTACTATTATTACAATAAAATTAAAAATGCATATATGTGAATGCCTTACAGAAATCTAATTTCTAAGCAAAAAAAAATTGACTAAGCTTGTGTACACAGAGTAAACTGCGAAGACTTTACGCCAGCAAATCATGATCTGTTTTAAAAAAATCAATCAATATTTGATACAAATAATTATTAAAGAAACTGATCTGTAAAGATTTTTACAGGTAGTAAATCAAGCATTTATGCAGTTTGTCAATGCTGATCAATCCTCAACTGAAGTATTTCACGCATGGAATGTGCTTGGAAACTTCTGCATTGAACAGATGAGAATCGGTTACAGAATCGAATTTAAAGCTCAAAAAGTGATAAGATGTTTGAAAAAGCAAGGTTCGCACTGTTAAAACTTGTCAACAGCTATTTACTACTGAAATTATTAAATCAGAAATCATAATTTTATCATGTGAGAGCATAAGCATTTCAAATGACCCACAATCATTTCTCGTAACTTGAAATTTAAAATTTACTTAAATATCAAAAATATACAGTCAATTCAGTAATTGAGTTATGAACGCTAACTCAATCGTGTTTGAGCTTACTTCTTAACTCTTTAATTTTTAAACGTTTTCAAAAATTAGCTAATAAATTTATTAAAATTGATTAAAATATTATTTTACTGTAACTAATGTATGATCACAAACACTTTCATCAAAAAATATTATCAACAAATTTTTTCAGCAGATAAATTATTCTTAATTTTTTACAATCTTTAAACGCAAATGCAAATGATTCTCTACCTGATATTATTCCAATTGATGAATGCAATTATTTATGCAAATTAATGAAGTAGTTAATCAGATGTAATATTAAATTGTTATTTACACGGAAACAAACGAAACAACGCAAACCAATCACCGTTACTGTGCACTGTACTGAACAAACTCGCAAAATCTTTCACCATTAAAGTCAGTACTGTCTGTAAAAAAAAGTTTAAATAAGCCGTAAGTTACTTAGAGTAAAATATATCTGTAATGAAAATTTGAAAAAGGTCAAAGTATGAAATGAAAATAAACAATAAAAAAACAAGGAATTGTAATAGAATTGAAATGCAAACTTTCAGTAATATTATATAAAGATTAAAAATATCGAATTTGTTCAAGACATTTTATTTTTTTAGATTGCAGTAATTAACTTAGCTAAAAAGTTTATACATAATTGTAAACTGATTTACCTGATCATCATCGATTCTACCAGAATCAAGAAGATCCATAAAAGTTTTATGATAAAATCGATAAAAGCGATTTATTGTTAAACTATCACCAGCAAGAAAACCACCGCTCAGAACAACCCAATCGACACGATATAAACTACTAATTGAGTACCTAAAATTTTGAAAATATCATCATTTTAATAAAAAATAAAAAAACAAAAATTATAATTAATTAATGGAATTGAAAATTTATGCAAGCAAAGCTAACCTGTATATTTTATCATGTGCCGGAGTCAATTTTATAATAGTTATGCGATCGCGCCGAAGATCAGGTCGCCAATGGCAATTGCTCGGAATTATTCCTTCCCGTCCGTGACCGAAAAAAAATTTCCCAAATATAATACACGCTTTACATGCGTAATTCCTGAGCACTAATTCAAATAATCGTTTAGAATTTGCAAATTAACCATATCCTGCATCGATCCATGCAAAAACTGAGTCAGAAATTCGAAATCGACTGCTCTGTGTCGCATTGTACAAGAAGTATGGTTTGGAATTTACAAGAATATTGTAATCAGCACTATTTGCTTCTGGTTGGAAACGAGTTTTCGGGTCAAACTGCCAATCTAAACTTACGTTTAGACTCTCAAAAAAATAGCAGAATACGATTGGTAAACTTACTTTGAGAGTATTGTTGAAAAAATAAAAATTAATCTCAAGTTGAAAATTTAAAAAAAAAACACACATGCAAATATTAAACAATTAATAATCTAATTAAAAATTATGCAGAAATAAATATTATGATAAATTTTGTAAATTTTACAAATATGTTATATGTAAACAATTATAAACAATTACGTAATCTTAATTATTACCTGTATATTACATTTACTTCTTAAGTTTTGATTTTGATTATTAAAAAAATAAGTACTTACTTGCTTGTTCATGTCTAATAATATCCTTCATTTCTTCACGATATCTATATAATGGTAAATCACGTATAGACATTTCAAATATCTAAAATTAAAATTATCCATATTAAACAATCAATATTCTATTTAAAAATATAAGCAAAAATAAATATTATAATAAATTTTGTAAATTTTACAAATATGTTATATATAAATAATTGTGAACAATTATGTAATCTTATTTATTACCTGTGTATTATAATTACTTCTTAATTTTCGGACATAATCAGCTCCTCTCGAGTCCGTGAAAATTACTATACGATTTTTTAACCTTAATAAATACGTCAGGTAATTCATATACTGTTCATACGTTCGTGTATATTTAGGCCATTTGCCACGACCAATATCAAACATTGCTGTTACAATTATAGGTGATTGTCCATCATATGTAAGATGTTTATGCAAATGACGATGTGCATGTGCTCTTTGGGTAGACTAAAAAATTCAAGCAAATGAAACAAATTAAAATTTTTCAACGAATTACATACAAAACTTAAGTATACAAATATAGAAAAACAATTTATTGCATTTTTTTTAAATATAACTAATAATAATTTAAAAAGTTGTAATTACAATTAGCAACAACGTTTGTATTTTTAATCTAACTGATAGCTTAGATTTGTCTATTTTAAAAGTTTATACAAAATTAATAATTGTAGTGTTTACTTTTAGAATTAAAGTACTGGCAATAGTAGAAGTAACTGTAGTACTTGTGGTTGTAGTGAAAACTTGAAACGGAAACGTGAGCGGAATATTTGCATAATCATAATTATCATCAACTATTTCGCTTTCTTCACTATTAACTGCTGCTAATTCAGTTTCAATCACTGATTCTTTCAAATAATTGACAGCTTCTAATTCATCTTGCTCATCCCTGACTTTTATTCCTTCTAAATTATCCTTAACTTCAGAATCGTCCCTTTCATTCTCACTTTTTGTGTTATCTTCCTTATTATCGTCCTTGATCCTTTCTTGTGTTAGCAAAATTGAGTTGGCAATTACTTTCATCGGTTTGGTCATTCTCAATGAGGATGACAATGTGACCACTGGTTGGATGATAATTTGTTCATCTAAACCTTTCAAATTTGCTTCATCGAATGCCGAAAATTTAATCGGTAGTTCAGCATTAGACTTGTGATTCTTTTTTGTACTCGTATTTTCATTCGAAATAGAATTATCTCCAGTCATATTCGTTACTTCTAAGTCAATATTTAACGTAGTATTTGTTGTTGACTGCAAAATTTTCAATTGTGTTTTTTTTACTTCAAACGTATCGCTTCCATTTGAAGTTAACCTCATTTTTGCATCAGAAATCATTGAAGTGAAATCATTAATTTTCAGTTTGGTTTCATTTTCACGATAATATTCTGAAATATCATTTATTTTAGTTGTTTTTGTCATTTCATATATTGCATTAGATTCAGAATCATTTACGGTTGAATCCATTTTGTCGCTCGCTGAAGTTATCGTATAATTGTTGACTTCTGCAGTCATCATAGTTTTAGCTGTATTAAAATCTGAATTGATATTGTTGTCGATATCAGTTGAGTTCAACGATGCCAAAAGATTCACTTGTTCAATAGACCATTGCAGAAATTTATTAAAAGCTTGCAAAATCATAATTAAATTCATCAGCTTAAATTTGAATTCATGATGATTGCTTTTTTCATTGTAAATATTATTAATAATAATAACATTACTACTGCTGTTGTCATTTGTGATATTTTTAGTAATAGCAGTGGGCACAGAAGTAAATGAAGATATTAACTTTGTTTCCACGTTTGTAGTAGAATCCGAATCATTTAAATTCAGTTCAGAATGCATAACTGGCATTAAAAGTATTTGATCATTTGATTTCAGTTTTACGTGTTTCGCTCCTGTTATTAAATTACCTAAAATCACGTTTATAATAAATAAAGTATAATTATGTCCCATATCGATTTAAAGCATTTTTTAAAGCTATTCTATGCATTTCTAGGCCTTTTTAATTTGAAAACCGTTCTGTTAAAATAAAATGACTTATGTGATTCAAGAAGTATTTATAAATTGCCTTACTAGTAGTCTACATAGAAGCTTACTTGTTTCCTCTGTAATTTCACTACGTGACCCTAAAGAAGGTCGATTGTAATTGACGGCATTATCCTGTGAAATCTCAGTATGATCAGTCTCATTAGGACTTTCAAAAAAATAATCAATAATGCGTTCGTTATTTCCAGTAACAGAATAATCATTAATATCGTACGTTGATTCTGTCTCTGACGTTTGAATTTGTTGCAAAATGATGGAAATGAAAATACACGTGAAAATGAAGACGAGAAAAGTGACAGTAATTCCAAGCATACATTTTCCAGAATGTAACATTGTTTCACCAGTTTGATCTTAAGCATTTCTCATGTAATTACATGAATTTCTTCTATTTCTGAAATTTTTTTACCTAATTAAAAAAAGCAGAATAATTCGAATAAAAATACGCTGTCTCCATAATTCTATACCTAACGTGGGATTACTTCACGTAAAAAGGTTTTATAGAAAGGTTTTTCTCATTTCAGTATTTCAGTCATTACTGTAATGAAATGAACAACTTTTTTTGCTCTAAAACTTATATTTAAATTTATGAAAAAAAGTAAAAAAAATCGATTGTTAAATTAAAAAAATTGCATATAATATTAAGATTATTAGCTTAACTTGATCATATCATTAAAGCTTTAAAAATTCAAAAAGTGTGAAAATCAGTTCAAATTGATAAAAAATGTTAACCATCAAAAAACTTTCTTTCCCTTTTCATTACACAATCAGTTAATGACTACTTATACTGATACAAAATATTACCATGAAAATTTGCATAAAATCATTGATATTTTGGAATAAAGAAATCCCTGTAAAGAAAAAACCCAGAATTTGCTTTTTAAGAATACAAAAAAGTAAAAAAATCGATTATAAAATAAGTAAGTTTTAGGCATAAATAAGTTAAGTAATTAGAAAGAACTTATGAAAGTGACGAGAGTTAACTTAATCAAAGTAACTTTCAAAAATGAATAATAATCATTGATTTTTAATTTCGTTAATTTTAAAGCATTTTGGTTGTGTTCAAAAAATAACTCACTAAAGTAGCAGCACAAACATTAATCGCAATTTCCAGTACTTGATTAAATGGATATTAATTAGCATATTTTTGAATTTGCATTACAAAAATAATTTTTAAAAATTTTTCATTGTCATAGATTGTGAAAAATTTTAAAGAGTGAAAATAATTTTAAAAAATTAGGAAGAAAATATGCCAGCATGTAACTTTGAAATAAGTTTTATTAACATTTATTAATTAATTTGCAGTTTAATTAGCATAAAATGCAAATTAAATGATAAAAAAATTTTGCAATAAGAAAATTTGCATAATTAAATTAAAATAATGCTAAGATGAAATTGAATTGAATACTAAATAGAATGTTTAATTTAGTAATGGCAAGCAAACTTTGTCTGAAAAGGTAAAAGTAAGCTAAGCAAACAAAAATCTTCGCTATTACAATTTAAAAATTTTAGAGTGTTAGCTACCAAATATTAGAGAAGAGATTACTCTGATGACAATTTTATTTACTTTATATTTTTGCTTCTTTTAAAATTTGCAATTTTATAAAATTCAAAAAGAATTTGAGTGTAAAGTTAAGAAAAAAGTTGCTCTTTGAGTAATTTCAAGCAAAGTTACAATGTAAGATTAGATTTTCTTCAGCTCATTTTTGAGACTTCTGCTGAATAAATATGCAAAAATATGATTCTCATTCAACTACAACGCATTTGTAAAAATTTGAAATCACTCTGCTTGCATTATTAAAAAGAAATAAAAATAATTGCTTTTTATTATCAAAAAGTATTCCTTTTTATATTATTTATATTAAGTTATATTACAAAAATATTACAAAACAAATACAATTTCAAGCAGTTATCAGTATGAGATTGATTATTTGTATTTTTTATAATATCTTTTAATTACATGAAAATCTTTCAACGTCAAAAATTAAAAGTATTAATTTTTTTGAAGTAAAAAAATTGTCGCTAATAAAAGTGCTCAGTGATAAAAGCAGCAAGTGTGATAATGAGACAGTAATAATGAATAGAATAAATATTCTTTATTATCAGTAGGTACTTGAACTTGAACTTTTATCACTGCATGGCCATTAACTTTTTTAATCTGCATATCATCAGTGCATAGTGATAAGAGCGGTGTTCAGTTACCCTGAAATATGAGATTTCAACTTAGAACCATGCGATATGAATAAGTCAGTGATAATTCTTAGTTATGAACGTGAAAAAGTTATGAGAAAAGTGTGATAAGTAAATGATAAGACGTATTTGCTGCTTACAAGATAAAACTTGCACCAATCAATTCGTACTTACTCATAGCACTATAAATGTTTCCAGTATAAATATATTCTGATCAAGAGAAATCATCAAAAATAATATGACGGCTCAATGAATACTTTAAAATAATTTTATTTTTAACTTTTGACATTATTTACTCTGAAACAAACGAAGTAACTGACGGTTAAGATCAATTGTGGTTTTTGATCAGTACGACGTTGATCAAAAGCTACAACTGATTTTAATCATTTCATACGATTGAGATTTGAATCCTTGAGTAGCGGAAGTTACTAGAAGTCTATGCAGGTTTCTAGAAAAATCAATCAATGTTATCAATATCAGCACAGCATTCTACAATGCAATCAGTAAGCGTTACTCGAGTCATATGTAATACATTGATTAGTGTCAGTTGTGATATATCTTGACAGGTTATCAACTTTATGACACTATTTTGAAGCGTGATTTACGTAATCTGTATCTATTACATCTATAATATTGTGTTCATAAAGGTTGGCGTACTTTAAACTTGGCAAAAATAACACAATTAAGCTGATAAATAAGCTAAGACAAATGTCAAAAGTTAAACTGAAAATGCAGTAAATTTTCAAAGAGTAAAAAATAGAGAATAGTAATGGCTAAATACAAATCTCGACATTAGTCTAGTAGAATATTTGTCTAAGTTTTTCAGACTATCCTACTTATATACAATAAGGCTAAAATAAGATTTAGACTGACATTGCAGACAGAAAAGTAAGATTGCATTGCAGTCCTTCCCTTACCAATCTTAAAGATTTCAGCAAAAATAACAAACTAAGTCAAAAATATAAAATTAATAAAATAGGAATAAGTTTGAAATATTCAAATTAAGCAGCCTACTAAAGAAAATATTCAATTATTTGATAATTATTTCAAATTTGGCTTTAGTAAGAAAATCAAATATCAAAATACTCTAGCAAGTTATTAATAAATTTGCAAGTTAATCACTTTTAATAATTTTAAGTTTTAAATGGAAGTTCAGACTTGCAATGCTAAGCTTCAAATTTAACTAAATGAATTAAGTCTGTTTTAATTTTATTTTAAATTGTCCAATACAAACTGATACCAAATTTTTTGAATTTTTAAAAACATAGCAGTATTTGAAACGGAAATTCATTCAAAAAATAGTGATATATCGTTGCTATTTTTTATAAAAGTGAACAAAATCTTTATTAAAAATTGAATATTAGCGGCAAATTTCAAAACAAGTACAATTTTATTTCATTTTATTTTTTTACGTAAATACGCAATGTAATAATTTTTGCAAAAAATCAAAAAAATATTTGTGATTGCTTTCAATGCTAAATAAAATTAACAAAACTAAAACTATGGAAAAAAATTTGCTAGTAATTTATAAAATTAATTTTAATAATTGTTGAAAAATTAAAAAAAAATATTGATTGAAAAATGACAAAAACTTTAAGCTAAAAAAATCTATAATTTTTGAAAAAATGATCCCTAACGATAGGTTGAAAAAAAATTGAAAACAAAGTACGAAGAGAAATACTAAAGTAGTTGTGAAGGCTTTCTGCACTTCATATGCTTCAGAATAATATTAGAAAACTTTTGGGTGATAATAATAAATTTTGCCTAAAATAATAACTATAATAATATCACTTTGTAGTATTGAAACAAATAATTACGATTCTGTCAAAGAGAAATCTATGAATTATAAAAGTGATAAATTAATTTAGTGATAATAATTTGTTAATTAAAAGGCAGTTACTGTAGTGTTACTAATCTGCTAATAAAAAATTGGTCATAATGATAGATTTTGAATGAAAATATGCAAAGCAAACATGTAAAATAAGCATTTGGACTGAAAAGATTTAACAATTATATCAGATAAAATTGATAACAATTTGATAAGTAATCAGTGAGCAAGCAATTGAACAGTCAATCATAAATAAAAACAATAATGGATCAGAGGGAAAAATTTTTCCATCTAGTAATCAGTTTATATTTTTTAATATTAATTTCTCTAAGTAAAAAAATAGTCAATAAAATAAAAGTTATAGAAAAATTTTGTAGTAACTTCTAATCGCCAAAATTTTGTTATATTTTTTGAAACAAATGTTTTCAAACAATAATAGTATTTGCTATGAAAAAATTTTTCAAAGGTCAAAGTTTAATCTTAAGTATTTGTCAGTGATGTAGCATTTAAAGTCTAATGCAAATTGAAAGTATATGCTTTTTAGTCTTGAATTGTTTGAATTAAATCCAGATAAGTAATTAATGAGTAG